ATACTTCCAATTATCACTTTTAATCGCAGGGTGGACTTGGCCAAACATATTACTATTAAACTAACCATTCCTGGCCAACACAGGCTAATCGTGCTTCTATGCATGATTCTGTTAGTTTTCCATATTCACCACAACACACTCTATCCAATTATGTGCAATGTGAATACTAGTTTATCACAACGATAATAGTTTCATCATCCCATTTCAATGCTTTATATATTTGTTATGTGTCAAATATGTGTAAAATAACAAAGTCTAGTGTTAATATCGTTATTTCTTAAATTAGTCCAAGACTATCAGCAAACCTTCAAATACTCTGTTTTGATTCTCTCAACCTGGAAAACCAACTCAAAGAACTATTTATGGTATCTTGATGTTGTTTAAGCATTTATTATCCTATTCATACTAACCTTCGGAACTTGAAATGCAAAATAGTATTTCATTCTTAAAGAATGGTCTTAATATGTTGGTTATAGCATAAGTCAGTAAGTTCCATATTAAACACTTTTTGGTGCTATGAAAAGCACAAGCAATCATTACCATAATATCATTTCACCTAGCTATTCATTGGAACTCATCTTTTGCTGTTGCTTGCTACTATTGGCTTATTCCTCATTTGTTGGTCCACAATAATTTTATTTTGCAGTTCCTGAACTCATTACTCCTTTTTCACAAAGTCATCATTTCCTTCAATTTTCATGCGATACACAGCAGTATCAACATTTGACAAAGCACCAATGGTATATGCTTCGTGAGAGTAGCTTCCTCAAGCAAATCTGACTCTTGACAACAACTAGCAAACAAACACACTAATTATGCATATTTAACCTTCTGAGCCTCGATACAATCGATATACTTTTGCATAGCTTCCTCCTTCGACATGCCTACGAACTCACCAAATCAAAACAACAATTCTACCCTTCAAGGCATTCCAGGCATTCCACTTCGCTCTCTCCTATCCATCACTACAAGAAAATCCAACATACAGTCAACGAGAAGATTCCAGGAGCAGGAATGTTGCAATCTCCAATAGTGGCTTGCTTGAATAGAGAGTATCCAGCGAGCTTGTCCTCATTTGACACAGTTTTGGCAGGATGCCACGAACGAACAAACTCAGCGGTTTCGTTAAATTTCTTCTACGAGCTCACTCCGATCTTCAACAATATACCTCTAATTCAGACATTGGATTCTAGTAGACAGGAAAATAATGATGACAATCAGGTTTTCAACAAACACACAAAGGTTCATACCCCTACTAGTACAATAAAAGACAAACGCATCCGAAGAAGTCAAACCTTCCGTTTATGCTTCTTCTGCTTCAGCTCCTTCTCCTTTAGCTTCACACTTTCCAAATGCGCTTTCAGTGCTTGCAAGTTCTCCGTATTCATTTTCAAGTAATACGCATCTTCCTCCACCACACGACTTCGTTTCCCATTCCCTTCTCTCGCAATCTTCTCCTCTCTCCCCACAACGCTCCGCTTTCGATTCACAATCCGCGCTTTCGGCGTCGAAATCCGCTTTCCCTCCTCCAAACCCGGCGCACCCCCATTCAATCCATTCATTGCATTCATCGAGTTCATTGCACTCATTGCATTCATCGCATTCATTGAACCCATCGAACCCATCGGGAGCTTCGAAGCTCGCTCGGGGGGCGCGAAGTTTTCGATCACTTCCGACCAAGGAATGCTGCAATCAAGCAAATTCGAATCGATTACGGCCGAGAATACACGTACAGATCGTTGTCGAAGCTGCTCAGCGGCTTGCTCACTAGCAATTCTACGCGTTCCAACAAACCCAAACGTCTACGCGATAGCTCGCTCGTGTCTTTTTCGCGCTGTCGAGGCACGCGTCGAATCGAATTCTCGCGCTTTTGAACTTCTTTGGAGCTGAAAGCGCCTTCTATCCAGGAATTGCAAGCCAATCAACCCACGCAGAATCACACCGAATCGCTTTAAAAACTCCGCCCACAGCTTTCGTTCTTTTCCGCACAGCTTCTCCGCTTCTCTGCGAGCTCGAACTGCCTCCGCTTGCCACTTCCAAAACTTTCCAGAAGCCACAAATTCGAGCTGCGGCGTGTTTTCGCTCAGACCGACGCGCGAAACGGAGGATTTTCGCGATGAATCGAATGGTGAAAAAGAAACAGCCGATCCGATTCCAAGAGAAGAAGAAGAAGAAGAAGCGGAGCAAATCGCTGCGATTCTACGAGACTCAATGAAAACGAAGAGAACAAACAGAAGACTTTGCGATGAGGAATCGAGTTCATCGAGCTGCTGCATTATTAAGGAAGGCGAAACGAGAAGAGTCGAGAGAAACGCAGGGAAGACAAAGCGCGTCTTGCATGAAAAGGAGAAACAGGGAACTACTTTCGATCGATTCACCGATGAAACGCCCATAAGTGGAGTGGATTCGAGAAGATTCGCGGTGAATTGAACGATCGACGCGGAAGTCGACGTCCACTCCGCGCTTTTCTTTCCAATCCACGCATTCAGAAGCTTCTTCGTCCCTTCAGGAAGCAACCGCAGATCGATTCCTGCTTGAGAAGTCGCTGGATTTTCTTCTTTGATGCGAAGAAGCGAGTCGTGGAGAGCGAAATTCGAAGGGTTGACGGAGGGATTTCGCGAAGAAAAGTCGGTCTGCGAACAAGGAAGGAAGACAAAAGAGGGAAGCGAAACTGGAGAAACTGGAAGAGAGAAAGGGGAATTGGATGTGGAATTGGCCGAAAAAGGCGTGAGAATGCCGAGGAAAAGCAGAACTCTGCAGACGGTCGGCAAGAGAAACCGAGCCAAAACCCGCGGCAAACTCAGCTGCGGACATTCCTTCGATAAATACATTTCAGTGCAGTGGATCAACTCTGATTCGGTGTGAACGCCTGCATCGAATCGCTGCTGTCTGCCCTACCCATTCGCGCTACGGTGATCATGGCTTCCACTACGCGCCGATACAGCAAAGGGGTAGCAACAGGCTTCTAGGGTTCACGCACACACACTCCTCTACGTAAGATTCCATGGAAATAGACTGGGTTTGCAGCGAAGGCAAGGTGTTCTGCGTCGAATTAGAACCATTGGACTTACCTCACCACAATCACTTTGGGAACGAGGAGTTAGAGACTCCGATTTGATGGCAAGTGGCGTTCCAGAGGCAGAGGACAATGGGGTGATCCTGGCCACGGAGGGAGAATAGATAGACATATTGGGTGCTGTATCATTTACACTCAGATCCGACATAAGGGGCGAAGATGCCACACGAACACTCTTCTGTTTTGTCTCGGACCTCGAACGAGAGCTTTTACGTTGATCTCGAGAAGGATTGACCAAGGACTGAATTACAGACAAAAAGGAAGAACCCGAAATTGAGTCCGAATACGACTGGCGCTTCACAATTTCACTCTGGATTTCACGTAGCAGACACTTCAGAGATTCATACCGACTGGTAAACTAGAAAATATGAGAATCAGACAAGCAGCAAAAAGCAGTCAAATTACCTGTTGTGGATCCACCTTGTCTACCCAACTGGCAGCATTACAGTTACAATCCCAGTACGCAAATACAAAAAACTAATAGTTCATAATCGTGTCACATTGCCATAGTCCAATAAACTATTCTATCCATCTCGTCATTTCTATAATAGCAAATATCAGCATGTGTATCTATCAGAATAACACCACACAGAAAACCAGGTTTGGATTTGTTGCTTGCAACCCTTTTGATTGATTATAAATTGCAATTCTATTTCATTCACCCAGCATTCTCATTCAAATCATATCCAATCAGTGTTAGACTCAATTCGAAACATATTCAGTAGTACAGATCGTCACACTTGGATCGCTCGCACCCAGAGTCTCACCAAGAACCAACACATTCTCTTCACCTTCACCCTTCAACCAGTCTTTCGGAATGTGATAATATCCCTGAGTGTATTCTCCATTTCCGTCCTTGATCATCCAATAGCGATCAATATTATGTCCATTTGCATAAGCCTGACCTTGATTCATGTCCTCTCCTTGAAATAATGTTTACCGCATCAAGTCTATCCTGAATCATACAATATTACTAAAAAAAACAAAGATAGAAAACAATAATGTATAAAAGCAAAAGGAAGGTCCCACCGAGATTTGAACTCGGATTGCAGGATTCAGAGTCCTGAGTGCTAACCATTACACCATGGGACCACACAGGAAGTTTCTGATAGCTATAGATATTGATTGGACTCTCTTTACAATCCATTCCGTTCTATTCTAGAATTCTATTATCTTTGTTATGAAAGCCGAGCCAATTCCTGATACTTGGACATCTGTAACATATTCGGTTTCTTCACGTATGATTGAAACCTACATATTTTCTCTAGGTGCTTCTATCTTTCTGGATTATATATCTATAAATATTGATAATGCGAGTGGATTACCCTACATCTGTAAAGTGTATAAGAAGTACCACGTATTTTCCTATTTTAATGTAGTGATTGGAAAGAACTAAAGGACATTGTCATGGGTGATATAGTCTATTCGATCAATGGTTCGGTTCATCGCCCTTTTCTTATTTAGGAACTTATTTTTCGAACACGAGCGATATTGAGCATCAAGACCAGCTTTTGAGAAGTATTTTGAATAACGAAGGAAAACGGTTCGAAGTCAACTTGATTAGTAGAGATCGTTTCATGTTTAGATAACTATTGCATTATCTATTGTAGTGAGAGCGGTATTCCAAGAATTGAGCAAATCATTTTACCCGATCGTTTTTCTACGATTGAAATTAAAAAGTTTGATCACAGCGATTTCACATACATTTCTTCTATTTCTGCGTATCTCCTCTTTCGTCTCTTTGATTCCTAGTTCCTATTTTTCTGCACTCGCTGGATCTGTGTTACTTGCAGTGAACAACGAAATTGTGATTAACAAAACCTACGACTCGATCGTTTACCTGATACAAAAAGTAACCCTCGATTCCCTTCTTTGTTCATATTAGAACATTCCGCCATTGGTTCTATTAATCGCCTGCCCCTACATGCAGAGCCCCGTGTCTCCCCAAGAAATCCGCGACTACATGAGCAACAACGACATTCTCACCGTGAACTCTTCTTCCTTCCAAAACCACCAAAGCAGCCAGTCCGCTCCTTCGATCCCTCGCGTCCTTCCGGAGTATGGCATCCTTCCCTGCGAAGATCTGAGCGACTCCTTCGAGAACCAGCACAACTACACGCTGCAGCCCTACGCTGTGGATAGCTACATGTTTCCCCAGAGCCAGGGCTACGCGATTTTGGAGAAGCAGTGGATTCAGTAGGGATGGAAGCGAGCGTTCATGCTAGATCCAACGCACAGCGATGGGAGAAGCACACCCTTGCTTGGAAGGAGTTTCTGCAAAATCTTGGCGGCACGGCGAAGCTGAGTTTCAGCTGGTCGCGACAGTCTGGGAAGAAATGGACGCAGTCGCTCACGTCGATGAATCGTCAGCGAAACACGCTGCGAATGCTGATGCATGGAGGCGTGCCGAACGAATATCGAGCCGATGTTTGGTATCGGCTGAGCGGCGGAAGCGAGTTGAAGGCTCGTTCTCCGAACTCGTATCAGCAGTTGTATCAGTCACAACTGGATTCGCGAATTCGAAACCAGATCGACCAGGTTTGCGTGTTTTGCGTGTTTGTTGGTAGGATGTGAAGCGAACGTTCCCTACGCACTCTCTCTTCGCGAAACGTGTGGTGGGAGAAGAGAAAGCGGGAGAGACTCGCCTGGAAGAAGCCCCCTATGTGGCTTCGCTTCGGCGGATTCTGCTGGCGAGCTCGGTGGTTTGCGAAGACTTCACATACTGCCAAGGAATGAATCTGCTGGCTGCCCTTCTGTTGGTCGTGATTCTTGACGAGGAAACAACGTTCTGGACGTTTGTTGGTCTTCTGCAGTATTCATTTCCACCGCATTATTTCGATGAAACGCTGAGCGGAGCGAGGATTGATGCAGTTTTGCTCGATTTGGATGGATGATATGCAGGAGCTGTTCTCTGAGTTCGCACGCGAGGAGTTTCCGGAGCTGGTTTCGCGCTTGGAGTCGTTTGATGAGCACATTCTGTCGATTTCTCTCTCATGGTTTATGCATTGGTTCATTCACACGCTGCCGATGATGACGGTGGTGCGCGTCTGGGATGTGATTTTCATCGAGGGAGACAAGGCGCTGATGCGTTTAGCGCTGGCTTTGGTTGCGATCAACCAGGAGAATCTGATGAGCGTGGAGGACGACAGTGATTTAGCGGTGATGTTTCGGTAGGGGTGAGAGAGAAGTGTGAGATCTAGTCAAATCGGGATGCTGCAGTTTAATGCAGATGAACTTATCAAAACGGCGTATCCTCCCAAAGGGTTGATTTTCTCTGGCCGTCGTATTCTCAAAGTCAACCATTCTGTACTAAATAACTTGCGTCAGACAAAGAGAGAGAAATATGATAAGAAAAGCAAGGATATTGAGAGCGATGATGAATGAAATCTGTTTGAGTTTTGAACAAACAAGAACCAGCCACATCACATCACGTTAAACTGGATTAATTCGAAACATATTCAGTAGTACAGATAGTCACACTTGGATCGCTCGCACCCAGAGTCTCACCAAGAACCAACACATTCTCTTCACCTTCACCCTTCAACCAGTCTTTCGGAATGTGATAAAATCCCTGAGTGTATTCTCCATTTCCGTCCTTGATCATCCAATAGCGACCAATATTATGTCCATTTGCATAAGCCTGACCTCGGTTCATTCCCTCAGGACGAAGCAACACCTCAATTCCTCGCTTGAGTCCTTGAGGAGTCTTGAACGTGGATCGATACCAAGCCAGATTATCCGCATTCTCAACATCCGACTTCCATGTTACCGTCTTCATTCCCTCATCAGTGAAAACTTGCTTGGCTTCTCCAACCAATCCCGGATAGTGCTTCCATTCCTGGTTGAAGATGTCGTTACCACAAAGCTTAATCCATCCGCAAATTCCCTTCAGACGAGACGATGCCCAAGAAGGATCGAGATTCGAATCCATTCCATTCGATACTCCCAGGGATTCAGAGAGCAAAACAAGCTTATGCTTTCCCTTTCCACTCTTCATGTTGATGTTCATGGTGTGCCATCCATCGTGGTGCGTGTGCTCATCATCGCTGCCGACGAAATGATCGTCCACATACGCCACAAAAGCGTTCGCGTCGGTTCCTCCGATCGACAGTGTGCATTCGTCCTGAGGGAACTCCACTTCTGTCTCATAGTACAAAAACTCGGTCAGATCGCGAGTCATGTTCAGCTGCTCGTTCGCCTTCGGACTTACGACAACACGCGGGGCTTCTTGCGAGAGCGTTGACACTGGTTCATTCCAGTACTCAAACTCCAACTTCTCTTCGCAATGATATACACGATGCTTGTTCACAGGCTTCACGTTGTTCGTTTCAAACAGTACATTATCGTACTCATCCAGCACAATCATCGACCAGGCAGGCAGCTCGTACACGATATCGCGATAGATCACCTTATCGGCCGAGCCCTTGCTGTTCTCGACAAACGACACCAATCGATCGCCATATCTGTACTCGAACGCATTGCAGTTATCACAGTTCAGGTGCTTCTGGTTGTTCACCTGCGCCTTGTCATTCAGCAGAACCTCCGCAATATTCGCCAACATGCGGTGCATTTTCGCGGTGTGCGAGTGTTTCGGCTCATTCGGAAGAGTATCCGAGTGAATCATCACTCCGTTCGTGTACCAATTCGTCATTCCATTACCCGCCCACTTTCCGTAATGGTTTCCTCCGAACCACATGTAATAGTTGTGATACGAGCCTCCACGGTCCATGAATTTCAGCACGTTAAACGTGTAATCCTCCGCAGAACGAGCATCCCAGCCCTCGTAGTCGTCTCTCTCCGCGCTTGCAGCTCCATGAATCTGGAACCAGCCCTCGTTTTCAGTCCAGCAGCCAGGCTGATCCACCAAGATGCGGCCACTCTGTCCATGAGACTCAAGATAGCTTGAGCAATCATTTCCATTACAAGCATTGATTGTCTTCTCAGAGGTATCTCCGTTGCACATCATCCAAGGAACGTTCAACTCCAAAGACTCAGCAAACTCTCCACACCAGTCGATGTACTCCCTCGCTCCACCCCAGAGCTCGTTTTCGATCTGAGAGAAGATGATAGGACCGCCGCGATCAGCAAAGAAGTCACGCGTGTAATCCGTAAGCACCTTCATCCAGTCACCCATCTCCTTCTTCCAAACATCGTTGTTCGCACGAAGACGGACACCGTCAAGATAGTTCACCCACACTGGAATACCTCCATTGTCCCATTCCGCACACACATAAGGTCCAATTCGCATGTTCACAAAGAGGCCGCGATCTGCGCACTTCTGGAGGAACAGTCGAATATCAGCAATTCCTTCTCAATTGTACTGACCTTTCACCGGCTCATGCAGATTCCAGAAAGTGTAAATCTGAATCAGATTCAGTCCATCCTCTACAGCCTGATCGAGAATCGTGTCCCACATCTCTGTATGTAACAAGAAGAAAAGAAAACAAACCTGGAGTAGCTCTTGGATAGTGGACAGATCCAGCCAAGAAAATACTTCTCTTTCCATCGAGGAAGAAGGATCGTTCGTCGTAGGTGACCTTATAGGGTTTACCTCTGAAATCGGTGTAGGCAAGGAATCCCGGTTTTCCTGTAACCTGGATCGAAGTTGCAATAGCAAGAAGCAAGATATGTTGGAGCATACGAAAAAGATTATGAGAGGAGAGCACGATGTACAACACGATTGAGAGGAGCTGCGTTTATTTTAGAAAAAATACTTGACTATTTGTGTTTCTATCAAGTGAGATTCCGACGTGAGATCCTCGAATTGTGTTGCGCTATTTCGAAAGTGTGTAATTAAAATGAAGGACTATGATACCGACACGTGCTGTATGGAAGGAATGGAGTAGGGGAAATCGAACCCATGTTTCTCTCAAGGCGATTCGCAAAGGTACAAGGAATTAGCGATTCAGTAAGAAATATGGAATAGGGTACAGCGTGTATAATAGAACAGTAGTAATGAAATCATTATACGGAAACAATGAGCATTAAGAGTAGAAATCTCGCTGTTTACGATGCTGTAGTAGCTTCCAGTGTAATAATACGGAATAGTAGCGTATGAGGGATATGAACGATTGGTAACTCTATGACTAAATGAGTTAGGTATTGGAAATGTGGAGGACAGGAAATCACAAAAACAGTATTTAGTCCGAAAAGATAGAAACAAGGATTATGTTACGATCCTATCGATTTCTATGAATGTGGGATATCAACACACATAAAAGTAGTAGATTTTGATGGATTTCGAGTAATGATTTGCTGAGTGGTAGCAACCGTATTGAAGCTATGCAAAACAGATATAGTTCTTCTTTTAGATAGCATTTATTACAATAATTATCCAAACACGACAATACAGAAATCAGCTCCATAATCAACCTTTCCATCTATAAATATTCTTTCTACATATGTCAGTACATATTACTACACAATAATAATGCTCTGTGAGGTATATACAATAGGCTAGGTCCAACAGATGTATACCAACAATGTTTTTTTTCACCGCATCCTGAAAATATATAATATTTCCAACAATGTGTTTTTATTTTCAATGCACGTTTGAATTGGTTTTTGGAGTCATTCGTTTGGTAAGTACCAGTTTCTATTGTTGTTGAAATGCTCAAATTGAAAGAATATGCAGTTCTATATCGCTTGATAACCATGAAACATAAATATGATTTGAGACAGTGCTACCGTTCCTTATTTGCGTTGTTGATCGAACATGATATTCCACATATAGACATATGACAATAAAGTATATGCGTGGTGAATTCCGTGTCAATGATGAGTTAAGTTCTTTGATGCTATACGTTCTCTCTCTATTTGGTGGAAACATCAAAGCACCCAGACAATACTTTTTTCTAATTCATGTTGTTTTTTCCAGAAATTCTTCTAATATTTACATCAAAAGTTGTTTTTTCTTTCTTTGTTCACACATTATCTATGTTACAGTATTGCATAATACTGATTATTGATTAGTCTATAGTGCATTATTCTTTAATGATATATTAGTAATATTATCTATCACTATCATAATATATATATAGCTAAAAGTCATATACACTCATACAATATCATAAACTATTTTCAATGTATTATTAATTAATGAAGGCATATTACTATGAATCAATTCATGGTTGCGGGTAATACAAAGCCAATATCTGCATTCTTCACAAGGAAATGTATTTTTATATATTCTTGTGTCGTTTATTATGGCTGCAATATCAATTAAAGTGACGTTTGATTGATTCTTATCTTCAACATAATACACAGATAGGCAAAACAACATATATAATGCAACTTTCCATCAACTTTAAGTCTTTATTATTTGTCTGCATATTATTATCCGCAATAATAATTACAATATTCACGAATATTGACCAATGATTAATATACAAATATATACAAAAATCAATATTTTACAAATAAATTCAGCATTGTCTACCTAATTAAAATGTATTATTGAATTGTTCTCCCCCACAAAACTCAAAACTCTAAAGACTATTATTTATCAGTCTCCCTTTGATTATGTTATTTATGGACAACTCTTGAATAATAAAACATCTATTCGCATTAAGATATTGATGATAAATATATACTAAAAATAATAGTGACAATCCCTACGTGTGAGTAACCTTTAAGCATATAACAGCCAAAAAAGTCATTCTTTACGCGTCAATTGCTACTTCCATAATTTTAGAATACAATTGGATTTAATGTAATGTGATTAGAATAAAAAAATGTAATAACCAAAAACTCTTGAATAACTTTGACCAATACGTTTTCAATCATTTTAATCAACGTCCGATTTCTTTTTGCTATTAAGCTGAAGTTAATAGTTTGAAGACAGGAAAAAAGAAGGTACAATAGTTTTGTAAGATAATCTAATCGTTTACAGTTTTCCCTTATGTGAATCTTACTATTGTATTATCGATGATTCCTTGTTAAAACTTATTGATTGTGAAAAACTCAAGAAAAATATACTCTACTGACATCGCTATTTCTTAAAGTTACACAGTATTTTGATGAGGGTGATAATAAACAAATAAGCATCAAAACTACATTATTCAATCAAACTCAATATATTAATACCGAATGCAATCATCATCTTCATATGTTAATGTAATCGCTGGATTACCAGAGAGTGCACATCCAGCAAATGCAAATGTACTGTCTTTTGTCATGATACACGATTTACTTTCACCCAATATGTACAGATCTGCCACTGCTGTATATGTAGCTAAAGAAACACTGTCTAAATTCATCACTTGAGTATCTGAGAATAGAGCTTTCTCATTCACAAAACTCACATTTCGATTCCTCAGATTCTGTTTCAGATAGTTCTTTGCATACATCGAATCAGAAGCAATATATATGTTATTTGTTTTAGAGCATGACTCTATACAACGAACTGCTACAGAAAGAGATTTCATTGATAACCATTGCTGTTCCAAGGGAAAGTCTGAAAGACTTCCACCCATTCTCAGTTGAATCGCATCAAATGGTTGCGTGTCGACGATTGGATATCTCACTCTCATGATCTGCTTTGTCAGGTCAGTGATTTGCATAACGTTTCTCAAAAATTCTCCATAACAATAGTATTGCCGCAGATAGGATGAAATGTTTTTCTGATAGCTCACTATTCCGTTGTACTGAAGAATATCATGATATCCCACAGAGTCGATCACAAACTTCAGTAGAAGTGAATTTCCGATTACTGCTGTTATTCTTGTTGGGAATATAGGATCAACCTTTCCTGTTTTGATTGCATTGCTTGTGTATCGCAAATCTTGTATTTTGAACTTTCCAAAAGGTTTAGGAACTAGTAAGTAACTGTAGTGAAGCAGATAGTTAATATCTATACAATCAACGATTTTCTAGACGATACCTTCATCAGGAACATAAACAATCTGTCCAGTATAGTTCTGCCGAATGTTCCACACTTTATGCCATGATGCAGAATAAGGAACTAGGTCTCAACAACAGATTTGAATGTACTGATAATAGGGATTCTGTGTCTAATTGAAAGAAAATACAATCCACTGAACAGCTGCAAACGATTTCCCAAGCCCTTATAATTGGGCAATAGAATCAATCGCTGGTTTGATCTCACTCTATGCAATAATAAAGAGCAATCATGAATAATACAATGACTTTAACTCAGCAGACTGTATTTGATTAATATGTATTGGCGATATTCCCTTACCTCTAACTCTATCCCTACTTGATAATTCATAAACATCGAACTATTACCCAAATTTGTTTATGATTCCAGGCAGTGAATCTCGAATCTTAGCTCCATTAATTAGCTGATGGGTCTGGTTTGTATTGAGCATGGTTATTACATTGATATCTGTAGTTATATTGCTATTCCAATCTGCTGGTCGAACTAACTGCCCATTGTTTCCCAAAACACTTGTAGAGTGCACTTTGATTCCATTATCACTTTGCCGAACTAATGGTACATTATACTGTTGACTTTGATTTCCAGAACGTCTACATCGAATAAACAGAGTGATTTGATACCTAAGTGATAATAGGAGTGTATGGCTAGCATTGATTGAATAGTTACATAAACTATTGAGGAAAATGTTCGTTGATGACAGTTGTGACCTACATAGAATAATCTCTCAGAGACTTACAGCAAGTAACTTGCAATTACAATCAATATTAACTGCACCATACGAAAACCAAATTACCAAGTAACTATAATATCTCCTAATTCCCAGTATTTCTTGTTTTCCAATAATCGTATTCTACTAGTAGTTGTATTATTATTATGCAGGTATTTTACAGTATCAATAGTTTATTCTTTCTCTATTATTATATCATTTCCCTATATTCTCTATTGTTATCTATCAACTGTTCTATATTTACTATCATTATTATTTATTGATTAAAGCTCGTTAAAATCCAAAACTAATGTACCTCGTTTTTCAACAAATTGGATATCTACAAAGTACTATTCGTATCATTGCGTGTGTATTATATCATATTACAATATGATCACATTGGTAAGTCTTTTTCAAAGAGTATTGTAGTACTCTGATTTGTTGTTCACAAATATAGTATAGAAATCCTAGTCTCATAATTACTATTTTGCATTGTCCTTTCCCAATTTGGCTTCATTACAGTTCTTTTAAGCTATCACTTTTTAAACATACTTGTTTCGTCCATGGAATTATCACTGGTGGTTTCCCTGTGATAGCACATCCAGCATAAGCAAATGTGCTATCTTCCGTCATTATGCATTGCTGGCTATTTCCCAGAATATAAATATCAGCCACAGCAGAATAGGTAGCGATAAAAACACCTTCCATGTTATTCAGTTGACTATCGGAAAACAAAGACTTCTCATTGACAAAAGTCACATTCTTTTCTTGTAATTTCTCTTTCATGAATAGTTTGGCCTTTATGGAATCAGAGGCTACATAAATATCCTTTGACTTGCAATAGGTTCCAACACATCGAATGGCAACATTCAATGACTCCATGGTAAGATAATGATTAGGCATGGGAACATCCGATAGTCGTCCTCCCATTCTCAGCTGAATTGCATCATAGGGTTGTTCAAAAACGATCGGATACCGTACCTTCATCATTTCCTTTGTCAGATCGGTAATCTGCATAATGTCTCGTAAAAACTCTCCATAACAATAGTAAACCTTCAAATGGGATGACATATTTCTTTGGAAACTAGTAATTCCACTGGCTAATAGAATCGAATGATACGGTTTAGAATCGAGAATGAATCGAAGAATATGCGAATATCCGATAATCGTTGTAATGCCTGTAGGTAATCCAATTTGCTCATCGCCCGTCATGATAAAGTCCTTGATTCTTTGCAAATCTGTTCTGATATGATCACCATAAGCCTTCACAACGATTAGATAGCTAAAATGAAATAGATACTTCAAGTCTATTCAACTAAATGATTATTCACTTATCGATACCTTCATCATCAGCAAAGACAACTTGCTGAGGGAAGAATTGCTTGATAGTCCAAAACTTATGCCACAAGGCAGAATGAGGGACTAGAATCATTAAAAGAAAACAAGGCACAGTCCTACTCACAATAGAGCAGTTATGTCGAATAGATATGAAATACAAACCACAGAAAAGCTGTAATCGATTTCCTAAACCTTTGGTATTTGGGAGAAGGAACAGTTTTCGTTTGGAACGAACCCTATTATTTGACTCCACAATAACGAAATTAACAATTCACGTAACTCTTCGGACTTAATCATGGAAGGATCTAATCGTTCGGTACTTTTGCCAATCAGCATATCACTACAAAACATGAATCAACCATTTCCTACCCATATCTGTTCTTTCCAATTCCAGGAAGCTTATCTGAAATACCATGACCTGCTTTCACTTGATGATTCTTTGTTACATTTAGGACCAATTCTAAATCATTGGAATGATTCCTGTGATTCGATTCGTTTTGATTGTTATTTTCAATCTTTGTAGAAATTGGCACACTGACAGTAGAATTGACACGAATAGTAGAAACAGAACTATTGCTCGTCTTCTATAATGTTATCAACATACCTAGACTAATACAATAGAACTGTTGATATCTAGTATTACTCTAAACAATAATAGCAATAGTTAGTACATACCTTTTAGTTGAAATATCACTTCTATGAATAGGTACATATTCGAAAGATGAAGAATAAGTCGATAGAGAAACATATATCAATTGTACTCTACAATTTACCAATTTATACGATATTGAACACTAAATAGATTGAAACAAACAATAATTGAAACATAGGACACACAGAATGGTAATAGTAAACTTAATATGATACAGGTGAGTTGTGTATGAATCTATACTTGATCCTCTTTCCTTATTCTTTGTCGTTTGAGTGAATGGATTGATTCCATTGCAAAAACTGTAATGAATACTAAATCTGAATGGGTAGCCAAACATACCATTTTTGATTTGTTTAGCATTATTCAAATAGATGGGAATGTAGTTCTATGCAATACGATACGATACAAATGGAACACATATCAAATCCCATAGTCGTCAAGAATAGAAATGGGAAAACAAAGTCAGTAATCTATCACGTTCTGTGTCTATACACTCTGTCTAGCCAACAATAATCTATATATCTTTTTATCGATAATTTACATCATTTCATCATTAAGAGATATCCTCACTTTTAAGGTATTCTTTAGTTTCATTGCAATTACTACTACTATAATATGTATTAATAAATGGGGCAATGTCACATTTTCCAGCTTGTAGATTCTAAACTTTCGAGTTGTTTCAAACATGCAATTTGTGAGATATCGAATTAATGAATAGTACAAAATGAATGAATTTTGTACATTAATAGAGAATCGTAATTTGACACTTCCATTACTCTTCACAACAGCACTCATCATTTGATTTATCAACATTTTAGTTCATTTCTGGATTGTATAGTACCAAGTGTATCGCTCTTACATGCTTAACCGACTCTTTGTCCAAAATCGCTTCATTAGATGACAAACACTCTACATCCTATTTTCCATAGTACAAGTATGCATATTTCATATCCACATCTCAATATTGATAATATCTTCCATGGAATCAAGCAAAAATAGTGTATTTTTCGTGGAGTAGTTTGGTTCATTATATTTTGGTTTTTGCATAATATATATATGTATTTTATTTGAAATGATAGTATTTCTGATCCTTGCAGTCTTAGGGGAGCTTTCTATTCTGTTACACACTACTCATCCAAACTGGAGTTTGGAATCAATTCATGTCTTAAAAGTAAGTTCTCCACTCAATTCTTTCATATTCCATAGCAAATACAATTACCATCTCACAAAGTCTTGTCTCATCATTCGAAAACTATTACCACAACGTTACCAACAGTTGCTCCTGTATTCTTTGCTCTCTCATCCTATTATAACTAGTATATTGATTTTCAACCTCTTGATAAGCGATATGGAAAGAAAAACGTATATGTGCAAAAGCTAATGAAGATACCCTCTCTCAAGCATTTCAGCAATGAAAAGAAGTGTTTTCAACAGCTCGTTCCATATTATCTCAACCCATTTGCGAGCTCAGCTTGTCATAATGCCAGTGATTTGTTTGATTTCTTCAAGCACAACAAAGAGAATCTATTTTTCGATTGCCATGATTCACATCCATACTCACATTGCCAGCAATTCTATGTCGTTACATATGATACAATGAAAGATGAATGTTCGTCCTTCAAAAGAAAGCCATGTATGATTTATGAAAGTTGCTCTCTCTTACATACTAGATAATCCCAAGGATTATGATGATGTCACTCTAATTACAATCTTAACGTTAGTTCGGAAAGATCGATTGCCCTATTTGATGAAGAGATGGAAACATCGAATCAATATGGTAATCTTCGTTACAGAGAATGAGATTGATGAGTTAAGAGAGGTGATCGATTCATACAAGTCCTATAAACGAATCACCTTTATACTCTACATTGTGAAGTCTAGGATCGGCTCGCGTTATCAAAGCATTTATTATCATGGAAAGAAACCGGTTTATCGAAACAATACAATCTTTCCTATCAATGTTTTGAGGGACTTAGCGATCGAGTTCATTGATACAACTCATTACTTTGTGAGTGATATCGATGTATTTTCATCCGATACTCTATATTCGACACTCCAGATTCATAATCAAACACTGAAGGATCCGAAAGCCGTATTGTTGCTAAAGTCATTCCTAATGAATGAAAAAGAAGTGAATCACAAGAATTGTTATGAAAAAGGATTGTGTGAGAATATGTATATGATTTGTGTGGATTGTTGTAATGGTTAGTTGGGATATGGTTCCTCATACAAAATCGGAATTGAAGCGAGTGTATATGCATAGTGTTGTACCTCATCCTACAGGTCGACATGTAGTTCTATATAAATTCTGAACCACACATAGAGAATTGTAAATGTAGATAAAATGCTTGCCGAGAATAAGAACATTCTTTACCGATACAATGCTGACCATGAAATGGAACCCTATTCCATAATCAAACGTTCAATGGATAATCCCATATTCCATCCCTATTTCATTGATTATGGATATAACAAGGAAGAACTATTGAATCGGATGATATCTCAACGTATTTGATTGTGATTTGTCCTATTTTGTAGATTATCACTTTTATGTCTTAGCCAACGAATTTTGCATTGAAATACCTCACAAACGAACCAAGATATCAAAGGACTATAAACGAGGCACTTACATGTGGCAGCTTGCTCAGATAATAAGAAAGACGTATGGAATAAAGCTAGTGTGGAGTGTTTTGCACTAATCAGATTATAATTGAACTACAAAGATACTACAGACAATAACCACATATTGGTTCAAAATATTGTGGTCATAATAATATGGATAAAGAATGAAAGGAGTATGAGCATGATAAGGAAGGAATATCAAATTGGGCTCAATGATCAATGGATTCTTAGTGTATTACATTAATTATGTAGCTTTCGATAAGAGGCGTACATTTACTATATTATTGTGCCAAAGTTGAAATTAGAAAATAGTTCTATTGATAAAAATGGAATTTTAGTCAATCCTATTATTATGGGCAAAAGTTCTAGAAATGAGTTATTATTGATTCTATACAATAGCTTGAGTTTAACCAAAGCTTGTATATTTCATTCACTCACTCATTCCAATAAGAATACAAGCTTCTAAATTACAATCTAAATATACCACAATATATATATATATGTCCAAGGAAATTGTACAGAAAAACGTCACAATATGTGAAAAAACGATGGTATAGTATTTTGAATATCATTGAAGCACAGAGCATAATATAGCACATAGTGTGATTTCTACTCTATTTTTGAGAATATCAATCAGATTTAGTATTTGCTATTTTTCTTATATTGTGTCAATGAAGCACACTTGTTCATATTATTTACATATGATTTTCAATGCAAGCAACTAGTTTTGCTTGTATTTTGAGCTATTGTCTTCATTCCCTTCTTTTGAGTGTGAATGTGGATTGATGGAAATATCTACTTCCATTTTAAAAGAGAATTGGTTCATATGATACTCCCACATCAACATCATTTTCGAAACTACTAAAAATGTACTGAGATTTTTAGAACTGTTAGAACCATATTAGAAATGACTATTCAACTATGAATAAATTAAATGAAGCTATCCTATGAAGAATAAAATGGTAAAATCGAAAAATCAATACCAATAATCCTATTTTTTGTTCAAACCAAATAAGAATGACTCTGTGACTTTTAAGAACTATTTAAAAATAATAAGGATACTATTTTCTTTACATATAAAATGGTGATAATGCTATAAAGCGTAATCCAGAACTCATGTACCAAACCTATGACTAATATCGAAAAATCAATACATTACAATATTAGGACAAAAGTAATATTCAGCACTATTTAATATATGATACAAAAATAGTACTATTCATAAGAATAATGTATTGAATCAAATGTTCAAGGATTTTCGCTTTAATATAAAAAAAAAGCAATTTCATTCTGATGTATTGGCTGATTGTATAACATAGCAGAAATGATTGCAATACATATTTACATAAATACAAATCATCATAAGTGTGGAATAAGCTTGTCACGATGATGATGGCAAAAACAAAAGCAAAAAATTCTTTTTGTATTTTATATCGATTCTCCAAGGGGTGTGATACATTTCCAATAAGTCATTATAAACAATAAAAATATATAAGCATGCTATTTTGATAAAATAATCGATAGCTTTTTCCAAAACTTGCCTCGTGAATATTTTCACTACCAGACCTCTTTTAAACAATTAAAAATTATATTCTTGTTACTTGAAAGGAATTGCACCTTTTCTAAGTTAAGCCTTTTTTCGAGCAAATGTGTATATGGATGCAGTTGAATGACTTTCTAATAATTTATTTGTGTACATAATCATATATAGTTTCTTATTTAATTATGAAAAAAATATTTCGCCAAGTATTGACAGAGAAAAATAGAGTTTTGAGAAAAATGGATCCAAAACACGTGGACAAATATTGAGAATTTGAGTCACGTGATTCATATAACATGCTATTTTTCACTTTTATAATTCTGATAGCTTAGTATTGAGTTATCTATGATGTTAAGTTTGATTATTAATAGTTTAGGAATATATATAAAATAGAATCATAATTTTATATCACCGCATCACAAGAATCGCTGGTTCTATTGTATAAATTGTTATTTGTGACTCATCATGATGAAGGCTATTTATTATTTATATTCGATATACATGAAAGCAACAAAAGCAGTGTAGAGAAACAAACAATTATATATTGGAAAAGACACGTGCACAGAATTATTAAAAACGATCCACATGAAATATTCACACATAATTCTTTCACAAAAATACTATATATTGTATTATTTATATATTTACTTTAGTAAAAACTTGTTTCTCCAAAACAATTCAACGATTCATTCCAACTAGTGGGCATCACTCTATTTACTTGTATTTTTTGAAACAACTTATTCCATTGCATTTTGTTGTGGTTGATAATATGTTGACGATACTTCAAATTGCATTCATACACATGAGAATAATTCGTTGTTTTCATCAACTCAACTAAGTGCGAGATATTGTTGAAAATAATTGAGCATGGAGTATAGTTATGATATGAAAGCCGGAGATCCTTCCTATTGTGGAAAGAGATTTCAGGAACCTCCTCGACATCCTAATTCAAAACACTTGTATTCACCTGAGGATTCTTCAAAAGAGGCTACTGAATATTGGCTTCAATATGCTTCCTATTAATCTTATTTTGAACGATAAATGATGGTGAAGGCACAAACATTGGAATAGCAGTAGTAATCAAATCTGCGAGATAATAGGATAAAACAGCATATGGAAATACAATCACTGCCTTAAATGAATTGATATCAGAATATGTGAACCTTCCTTTTATTTTTTCTCGAATATGGACAACAGGACAATTGAAATATGACGATTTACAAGCCTTCGATATTGTTGCTTTGTAACGTTTATAAAATGGATTTCTTTTAAAAGGAGCATACAAATATTCATTGTATTTCGGTGAATAAGATGTAGGCGGGGAATACATGAGTACTGTAGACGCAATTATATAGTCCACATTCTTTCCAGAATAATAGTTGATGTATTCTGCATCATACTTTCCTGCAGCCATTACAATAATAGGAGCTTTAGGCTTATTGAACATCCATTTTATAAGGCTTTTCGAATCACTTGAAGAACATCGTTTGATGAGAAAACGGTGAGCAGGCATGAATATAACTGTTTTGTTAAATGCTAAATAGTTTTGACATTCCGATGGATAGAGCATACAAATGATAGCATCAACACGTTTAAACAGAATATCGTTACGAAATATTGACCAGAGGCGTTGAACAGACTTCATATTATA